GATGGTAGAAAAACACTGATGTTACTACTGGTAGGGGAATATGAGGTATTGAGAAATCCATTTTATTCTCAAGTCTTAACTATGTATTTTTGCTTTACATGTGCTCACCTCAATATTAAAAAAAATCCACAAATATTACAGCCTTGGGAATGAAATGTAATTCTGAGAATGAAATGTCAAACCTCGTAGCCCTCCACCCACAGTGATATCGTCTGTGCAAAACCAATATGCTTCTCTTTTGAGATCACTTATTTCCTGTGCTGCGGCTTGAACCTTTAATTCTGCTTTCAGTAGCCTCTGACTTCTCCATTTCATCCGTTGAAGACATATTTTTTGACATATTGTATTATTTCTCAAGCCCTTGCGAACACACGCTGTTACTTGTTTGTTTCCCTGCGTATCGACAAGTGCAGATTTTTTAAACCAGATATTGATCACAGTCATATTATGAAAGATTCACTGTTGTACTTGCTTAAGAATAAGGTTAAAAAAATACGCCTGAGGCATTAATAGTTTGTTTCTTTTTACAAATAAATGTAATGTACATTCCTTTCCTTTTGCAAAAGCAGTTATGTCCGTACAGTTTTTCATATATTGTACAAACAAGGTCATTTAAAGTGTTAATATGTATCAAATTCAATATAGCTAAAACTATACAGTATTTAACCCATTGTAGTAAATACATCAAACAGTAAATATGAATTGAATATGGCTTCAATAAAGTTAAAAGTGACACTCACCCATTTCCAGAAGTTGTCTTCTCTGGCTTGACAGTGTTTTGTGACTGTAATTCATGTGGCACCCTCTTCAACTTCACACCACGAAATAGGAAGGTGTCTCCACAGAACAGTTTCATTGGTCGACTGATTGCTCCGCAGCAAATGAGTCTGGGAAACTGAGTTTTTTTTTCTGTTGTTTAAGTCTCACAATGTCTGTTCTCTGTTTCATCTCTTGAGTTTCAAAAAACAACAGCTGTGTTAAAATTGTGGACCAAACTCTGCATTTCATATTCATATATAGTTTATTATTTATTTCTAGATACATAAACATGAGTAAAATTAAGTTGGTATCATGTGTTTTCAGTGTTCATTACTGCTTTTGTATGTATTACCACATATTATTGGGAGAAAATACATTCAAGAAGTGACTAATAAAAATGATACGATAACTTAAATAAGTTTGTTAGTATAGTGATATAATGATTAAAACCTGGTTACTTTCGGTGTTCAGACTGGACTCACTGGGAAGTGAAAGAAACGTTCAACCCAGCCCAAATAGTGCTTCAGAGGTATCTAAATGTAGGCATAACATTTGATGTCTATATTATTAAAACAATGTAATTTACCTATACTGTCAGTGCTAGGTCCCAAAAATGTGTGTAGCTGCATAGAAATTAATATTGTGTTTAGACATAAAAGAAGTGTGTTTTAGTGGTTAAAGATGGAGACAGTTCCTGCTGTCTCCAAAAACTTCTTAGAAGTACAACATGAAGTATTAAATACCACAATGACTTAGCGCTCTGAAAGCCTCTTCCTTCCTAAATTTATTATGAGTTTATGGAGGATGTTAAAATAAAGCACAACGCGAGGAGTGTTTGTGAAAACAGAAGTATTATTTTGAGCGTATCACTACTGGTTATGGTACTAAAGCCAGTTTTATTTGATGCAGTGTAACTATTACAGTTTAAATAGTAAGTGTGTTTTGACCACACTCAGGGTAATTTTTTTAGGTGAGGTCTTAATGTACTCGGTACAACAGCGATCGTACAGGGTCCTGGAGTACACTTCTACATTACTGCAGCAAAATGAGAAGTTAAAACCAAACAAAGACAAGAATTTCAGGGGTTGTTAACTTACTCTTTAAGCACATAATTTTAAATCTATTTTTAAATCATGTGGTTTGAAATTAAAAAAATGCTCAACCCTGACCCAAATGTGAGGTAGTACATGAAACTGCTGCTATTCTGACCTAAGAGGACCGAAAACCAGCTGCTGAAATGGCATTGTTTAGTATTTAAACTGGCCTTATGGGCTCATAACAACAGCTAAGCTGCACAGAAACCCATTCTCTAAAAGCTCTCATGTAGGTAAATGAAAGTTTGAGGACTGGCTGGTATCTATAGGGATTGAAGACTTTACATTTTAAGGAACAGGTGAATCACTACTTCTTTAAAATGGTTTCTACTGACCATAGGTATTGGTTATAAATAAAATGCCAGGACAATGCAGAAGTAGCCTTTTCCACTATGATGATTGAAAAAAAAAAAAAAAAGGTCAGCAATTTCTCTACTACCAGTAATGAGTCAGAGGGAGTTGTCTTGAGATGTTCTTTATGGCCACATGTCACTGCCCTTGGAAAACATCAGCATCTATTTAAACCATTTTATACTATTTTATCACAGGGTCACATTTAAAACTTGCAGTATTTTCCCTCCATTTTCCTTCGACTGTCCTACACTCAGTGAACTTGCACTGATCTTGTGCTAATCACACAGACAAGTGATGAAGCTGCACGACACTATCCACATTTCCTCCGCATGTTTTTGATCTGTTTAAAAAGGGGGATGCCCTATTCCCCCATCTGCTGCGGATAGACTATGACATTTCAAAATGATTAACATTTAAATGTCAAAATAACCAAATATCTACGAACTGTCCAAATCTCAGAGGGATTTTTTTTGTTTGATAGATACAAAACAAGTTTTTTTTGTTGTTTTTTGAGAAAGTGTAATTGTCGAGCTGATCAACAGAGCTCTCTGCAAAATGGAAGACATGATATTCACGCAGCTCCCATGTGAAGAGACTGACTCACACAGAAATGAGATCTTAAAACACATACGTAAATGACACCTGCAATTATTTAGTGGAGAAATAAAACATTTGATCTAAATTAGATATCACTATCACTATCACTATTTAAATGTGGATACAGTAATACTTAAAGAGGCAAGAGTGAGAAACTCTTGACTTGACTCTTAATGCAGACAAATTAATAACTAGAGGACAGATGTGTGGTAAGATCTGAACTTCAATGACTATATATTCGTAGTTTATATCATACTTGACGCTTTATAGGAAATGTATTATTTAATTCCATTTAATTGTTACAATGTTTTGCAGAACTCTTTTATCCCCTGCAGCTGACAACAAATGTGGAGACGATGAGCAAAAACATGGGCCGTAAGACTGAGAAAATCCCCAGCTATTCATTTCAGACTTTCACTGACATAAACATACGAGGTTGAGGTGAGGGCAGCACAATGTAAATGAGAACGCGTAGAGAAAATATTGTGAATCCAACACAGAAAAGATTTCCTATCTGAAGTGAGTCACTATCCTGGGAACAATCTGCAAACACGTTAACTGGCACATAAGATTCCAGTCATGGTGAGAAATGGTCATTAGCTGTATTACAGTGAGGTTTTCCAGAAGAAATGGGTAATAAATAAAGATGCACCCTGTTGTTTTTAGGGATCACAACACACTTACAGGAGTATATCTGCAATCATTAAAAGCAGAGGTGTAAAACTGACATATTTCATATATTTGTATATATATATATATATATATTTGTATATATATATAGAACTACACTGTGGGAGTTAATATTTTTATCTTTGTAGTTTTTAGATGGTGTAGGTGGGAGAGGAAATCAGCCTGAAACTGTATTCCTATCCAGAAAAGTCCAGATAACAGGTTGATTCATTTAGCAAGCAAATATTAAATTACACGGATGATTTCCAGTTTACATTACAGTTTGATACAGGCTGAGACAGAACATTTGGGAAGTATTTCACATGAGTGGAGCAATAAAATGCCAATTCTAACCATTATCAAGATGACATATTATTGCAGGACTCTAATGAAACACTACTTAAGAACTAAAATGTTGCAGTTTGTTTCCTCTTGAGCAACATTCAGGAGAAATTTGTGATTTGCACAATGTAAGATCTGCATTTTGTGACGACATCCAGCAATATGAAACTCAACATATTTGATGACTTGCATGAAATACATGGATCTAAAACATGGTAATTAATTTTTTAGAGACATAAAGTCTTTAAATTGAAAAATAAAATATGCAAAATGGAAAAAAAACAAGTTAGCTGTCAATGATGGAGTTAGACTAAGTTTAAAGAATATATTGGATGTCTAGTTTTTTTATGCAGGTTTTGTCTTAATACCATAACATAAAACAATCCTTTAATAAATGTAAGTGTGCAGGGCGCATCATTTGTAATTCACCTGAAGACAGATTTAACTGAAGGATGTGGGAGAAGTAAAATCAGATTTTCGTGTGAAAATGAAACCTATGCATTAGAGGTGAATTCCCCAGCTGTTGCCTCATTCCAGGAAACTGTTTGTAGATCACATACCGAGTCTGTGTATACGTACAAGTTCCTGTTAGACCTCTGAAAATCCCTATAGGTTTTCTATGTTATTTCAAACCTTTCTAAAATGTATGCAGCCTGTGCTCGGCCTGAGAGAAACGATATGACAACACGCCTTGTTTATTTATTTTATTATGAAGAATGTCTGTGCATTACAATAGACTCTGGAGAAACAAACATGAATAATGCAATGGTTACACGATGCCCTTCTCTATTAATGATCAATTGATTTCTCTGTTTGTCGACTGACCTAAAAACCTTAAAGAGCAAATAATTTTGTTCCACCTAAAAACAGTGAACTTGCATAAATTCGGCTGTCAAAACAGTTCAAATATTCAATTAAAATGTGACTGCGTTCGCTTCCCCTCATTATGGCACCATAATACCACAAATCACCTATTAGAGATCTGTTGTGCACTCAAAATCAACCTCAGACCAGCGAGATCCAAAAAACAAAAACAAAAAAAAGTTAAATATGTTGAAATGATTTGGTTCAGATGAGAAAGGACTTGAAATGAAGACCGTTTTATACTCACAGTTAAAGGGAACTTTACCGTTTTAAGCATTCCCCACTAAAGTCGACCACGCAGAGCACAGCAAACAGCATCTGTTTATTCTTTTTTTTTTTTTTTTAAATATTCACTTCAACCACAGTCAGATCAGTACTAAAACATGGTTTGAAATTCACACAGGATGTAAGTTCAATCACATAAAAAAAAAAGAAAGAGGGAAATTCAGTCTGCCGGTAAAGAAAGGCAAAAACAAGGCAAAAGATTATACTGTAGCCGGTACCGCCATCTTTGATTTTTTTTTTTTTTCCTGAAATGTACAGGAACATTTGCTACAAGTAACAACAAAAGAATTATACCTGAAATAGAACTGAAGTCACTTGGTAAGGAATGCTAACAAGAAGTGCCATTAATGCTCACAATTGAATTTAAGACTTAACGAAGGCTGATATTTTACTGCATCACATTTATAGGTAAAGAGATGGATCATTTGGGGGGGAGTGGGAGGGAGTTTTGGTCAGACTAGGGGTCGTCACAAATCCCTAAACTATGCCATCATTTGCTTACAACATCAATTTAATGGAATTGCTTTCTTTGAAATGAGGAGAGATTTCAAAAGCTTCTGGCCTCGATTACCATCCGTTCGTTGGTCCATGATGTGGAGGATGCTTTACTCCGTTTCAGCCTGATCAGCTCACTTGTGTGCGAGGACCGACTTTGGCGTGTGTTGTTTTACTGCAGAGGTCCACTGCCAGGGCTGCCAGTGTGATAATCTGGGGTGGTGGGGTGGGGGATGGCACGCGCTGGGCTAGATAAGCTCCACGTAATTGGCTGGGAACATTCCAAAATGGCCGTCTGGGCTGTATCCTCGCCACCAGCCCTCGTCTATCATCTCGATCCCGGTGATGATATCGTCGGGATCGAACGAGATCTCGGTGTCGTCAGCTGAAGAGAAGAAATGTCTAATCAGGGTTTCTCCAGATGGAATTTAAGATTTTTGAAAACACCTTTTTAAGACTATTATGAATGCAATTTAAGGCCTATTTTTATGTACATACTAGCAAAAAGAAAGTACAAAGGATATGAAGGATAATAGGAATAGGTCAGTTTCGTTTGGTAGTTGTGATATGATAAACATGGGGGAGGCGGGTGACACGCAAAGGGCTACAGGTCGTGGTCGCTGCAGCCTTGGTACATGGTGTGCCAGTTCAGACATTTTAAGGCTAAAATTCTGATTATTGGATTTTAGACTTTTTAAAACCCTGAACCCCCGTTTCATGAACATCAACAAAATTACAGTATGATGTACATTTACCAATAAGATAATAAGAGTAATTCCAAGTGTGTGAACATTACAAACAAATAGCTACTTAAAAGAGTAACATAACACTAAATATACTTTTTGTTTGTGAGTCTGGGTTTGAATGCATTGTTAGAATTTGTGAAGCTAAAACTTATTTGACTACACATCTGTTAATTTGGTGTTATAGTGTAGTGATAATAAACTCACCAGCCTGGTAGTCATATAAGGCTCTGGCACAGACGCCTCTGTCTGATGTCTCCTCAGCAGTCACCTCAGCAGTCACCTCATAGGAGTTAATCTCCTCCACCTGGGAGTAAAGAGGGTTAAGTTGTGTTTTGGGATTATGTATTATGATGGAATTAAACAGTCATAGCATTTCCTGCCAAAGGAAAGTAAACAACTACCTGGGCCGGCTCTTCATAAACCGCCTCTTCGATGTGGGAGATGGCAGCCGGGGGTGCTTCCTCTGAAAGGAGATTACCATCAATATTGTGTCTGATGTGTCTATCTACCAGCAGGTGGCAGCAGCGGATCCTGATCATAGTTTGGCTGGAGCGAAATAATTTGTCCTCATAACAAATTACAGCAGCATTTTTATAAGAAGCAGATGGGAGGGTTGGGAAGCTGATGTGTAAAGGGTTAACCACGGAGGCTGGTGTTGTGTGAAAAGGGCCCCACCTTGCAGCTGCTCCTGGGGGGTCTCCTCCTGCTCATCATACTCACACCTGGACTGTCCATCATCCACATCAGGCTCTTATCAGCCAAAACACAAGCACAGACATGCATGTACACAGAGAACACGTTCACGAGTCCACACAGGCTGAAAACCACCACCAGACATAACGGCATTCTTGGCACGTTTCACTTATGAAGTAAGGAAACAATAATCAGGGAGTTCTCAGGAAAGAGAAAATACACTGAATGGAAGCATGACTCACGATGAAATACATGATTATAAGTAATATGAAGATGATGGCACACAGAAACAACAATGAGAAATGAAGCATGCAGCTTTTAGTTAAGTATGAGACTGTTACCCAATGTGCTGTGTGCATGTACTTGTAAGCGTGTGTGTGTGTGTGTGAGCTCACACCTGTGGCACGGACAGGAGAGGCGGAGCCTGCTGGGACAGGAGAAGCTTGGCGCTGAGGTGAGCTGGCTCGCTCACTTTCATAGACTGGCTTAGACAGAAAAGGGCTTTGCAGACGCCCTGAGCGAAGACACACATGGAACCCCCAAAACATGCCAAAAAAAATGGACGAGAGAGAGAACAAAGTGCAGACAGGTTGAGCAGAAGGAGAGAAGACACCATGATGGAGACAGTGTTAAGTATGATTATGAGACCAGTAGACAATCTGATGGAGAAGTTCTGTAAAAAGACAGCGTTAAAGCACCCGTTTGTACGCACCGCTACTTGAGCGAGAGGCTAAGAGAGCTGTGCAGTAATGCAGAAGGGGCAGGGACATTTAAAGCAAACAGAATTAGATGTTGAGGTCATGGTGTATACTGGGGTGATACCTGGCTGGGGGCTAGCAGGGGCGGCAGCGGGGACGTCAGAGTCACTGGGAGTCATTCCCCTCTCTCTCTGCTTGAACATCTCTCTGGGGTTTACGGCACGCTGAGAGATGAGAGACGCTGCCTCCTAGAAGAAAGAAAACATACTTATCTTTACCTACAGAGATCAAACTGGATCCTCAAATAGTCTCTGAAGAGGGATCAGTCATGTAGTCATAAATAATCTTATGTGTCTTGTCTTGTTCTGCCTGTATTTTCTTGTTGAGTTTTGTGTTTTTAATGTAAATACTGTACTTTTTTGTATCCAGTCTCTTGTGTATCTGTTGTTGTGTCTTACAGATTTTAAAAAGCCTGTCCAGGGGGCAAGCATTGTGACTTAGCTTAGGCTATGAATGCTGTGGTGTGTGGCATTGGTTTAGGATACGTACTTGTCCCTATACAAATAAACATTGAATGAAATACGTACAATAAGCATTAAGAAAGCCACAGGTTATTAGTAATGTAGTGGAAAGTATTGCTCTGATCTCTGTAAAAGATGGTGAGAGAGGAGAGACCATGCCGTAGAGACTAGAAGATGTTACGCTGAGCTTCAAAGGGTTCACATTTAATTCGAAAGAGAAAACACTTTGAGATAGGCAAGGAAAAGGGAAGTAGTTTGGCCAGAGGAGGGCGCTTTCAGGACGGGGAACTCACGTTGGCCTTTTCCACAGATTCACCTCTCTTGACTGCTTTCTTCTGGGCTGCCTGGTTCTCCTCATGCTCCTCCTGATGGTGTCATATCAATGTCGGCACTGCTGACGTTAGCTACCTTCCTGACTTAAGTTTACAACATGTGTGCGCTAACCAAACTTATTTAACTAGCAAGATTATAGAAAAGTGGGTAACACTAAGTAAATGTGACTCAACAATCATCTCATTTAAGCATGTGTACGTGGGCGTCAGGTTACTTCACAGCTAATCTCGTCAAATGATGGGAGAGGGAGAAACTCACCCAACGTTGTTTCTCATGCTCTTTACTCTCGGATTCCTGCTGCTGCTGGTACTTCCTATTAAACAAATGATAATATAGAAAAGAAAGGGAATGTAACTTGAACCTTTTAACTGTCTGTATTGCTAACCGGTCTTAACCAGTGCGCATTTCCGCCATTTGATACCTACTTTTGTTGGTCGATTTGAGTGGCCCTCTCCTTGTCCCTTTTGTCCCTTTGCATTGCCTCCTTGGCCTCTCGGTCTTTCGTGTCTTTCTCCAGTATCTTGCGCTCCTCCTCAGCCTTGCGCCGCTCCTCCTGGCGACGTTTCTCCTCTTCTTTCTAAACGGCAAAGAGGCGGGCAAGGTCAGCGTTGGTTTGGCTATTTTGTTGGTTTGGTCATTAAAAACCCTTAATTTCACAATAGTTTATCTGAGAAAACTGCAATGTGCAATGAGCACCACTTTCTGGGTGTATCTGTGACAGGTGTGGTGATGAGCCAAAAACTGCAAACAAAGGACAAAGATCCAACGATGCCTTCGCTGACTACGGTTCCATTTGTGATGGATAAAAACTGCCTGCCTTGTGTTTTTTTATCGGGTTTTAAGGAGAAATGGCAATATTTGTTAAATGTTTCAAAAGTGCTAACTCTTGCAATATTGTGGGGAGTTCCTGCAAATTCAATGATTCAATACATCTTACATAAAAATAAAAACTTTTTTAAGGGTTGCTCATGGTACTCGTCACACTGTCTCAGAGAGGAAGTTGAACTCAGCATTAGCTGAATGCAAGTTCAGAAGCCTACCTCCGCCTGAGCCCAGAAGTTGTCTTTGTTGGTCTTTCTGATTTCTGACATGGCGTTGGTCTTCTGGTACACTGAGCCCTGCATGAAAGGAAAAGACAATGGAATATGATAAACTTTTTACGTAATAAGAAATACAGTGGGATCCAATTACCAGAAACTGTTGGTTAGCAATATTTACTTTTTTTGGTTTGGTCATTATTCATTAAATGGATGGAAATGAAAACTTGTAGCTTCTCTCTAACTGATATGACGCCATATGTTTGGTTAAAATATTGTCACATGATGAGCCTCGTTTATAAAGTGCAAGTTGCTTTGATTTTTTTAACGATCAAATAGGAACCAATGGTCGCTTTTTCTTTAGAGAATGCGCGAAAGCTGCATGCGAAAGCTGCATGCTGCCTGTTACGTTACTCCAGCCTTGTGGAGCTGCGGTAACTTCTTAACTTTTATTCTCTTTTTGTTCGTTCTTATTTTTCACCTGTAAACTCTATGAAGTCCTGCCCTCTCTACGATGTATGGTTTTGAGGAGAGTTTTTTGTGTTTTATTTGGTGTTTTAATGTCCGCTTCCACCGGACACGCTGCCGTGTTTATTCGGGAACAGCTGATGGCACTAATGCCGGCCGGTACAGGGGACAGAGGCGCTGATTGACCACCTGAACTCTGGGAGAAAAACACACCGGGGATGCAGGAGAAGGAAGCAACGTCGGGGAAGAGAGGATTGGTCGAGACGGACGGCTTTATGAGAGTGAGAAGATTGAAAGCAGGTTCTCCCTCTCTTGTATATGGTGAATGTACGGTCTCCTAGCAACAAGAGAATGACTAACGGCATTAACGCAGAGCCCGCAGAGTACCGGGAGTTCATCTGATGTGTTTCACTGAGACATGCTGCACACGAAGTATCTGATATTGATTCTGATTCTGATTTTAAAGAGAGTAAGACGGACAGAGAGGAAAGAGGAATGTGTGTTTGGGTCTTTCTTGGTCAGCATCTTCCAATTGTTCTGCTTTGGAGAGTTTGTTTAAAAGAATGTTTTCAGTGGTAGAAGTGTGTGTGTGTGTGTGTGTGTGTTAAGGGAAAACCATAACAAAGAGAAAACACAAACATTTCAAATGTGTCCTGGTATTAAGATTAAGGAGCCTAGTTAAGATCTCGCCCTCTGCTTATCTTTCCAGCATGAAACACAAACAAACAGGAGGGCAGGAACTGCATGCGCTGCATACCACGGGACCCTGAGGGCCGCTGTCCTGGAAGCGGCTGGAAGCTTCTTTGTGGAAGCTGTAGTTCGCTCCCGACGCTTTGGCCACCTTTTGCATGATCGCCTCGGGTTCCACGTCCTCCTCTGCTCTGGCGTTTATTGTGACATGGGCCCCCTGAAACAGCATGACACGAAAGTTCCTTTTAATGAAAGACAAATACAACTACAGTTCTTATCTTGGTTTATGCATGAACCGCCCAGTAGTTTGTGTACATGCACTGTTTGCTGCTATGATATGAATGCCACGGACACCAATCCAACTCTTGCATTATTCCAACAAAGCCTGCACCATGCTGTATAGTATAGTAGTCCTGCTCAAAGGCCTCATTAACATGCAATTGAGCAGACTAATTAAAAACCTCTGTAAGCATAAAAAGACAAGTTCAAATGCATATTTAAACTAGACATGCTAGAAATACTGCAGTGTTACCTTAAGAAAATTGGCCATGGAGCTGACGTGATTTGCACATAATCCTTTCCTGGCATCCTTCACTCCTTCTCCAGTCTGAAACACAAAGGATTATTCCACAAGTTCAACAATGGCCACAACAAAGAGGACAAACAACTGTACAATAGCTAAGGGTAGCACAAACCCAGTTGATGAGGACATATTTAGGCAGACCAGAATTTGGATCCTGGACCCGGCAGAAAGCATACATCACTTTTCCACTGTTCAATTCCTCAACCAACTCCTCCAGTCCTCCATCTAAAAAAATAAACATTGTGGAAAAGTCAAACGGTTACTGTGGTTGGTTGTGTAACTGCGGACATTTTTCCCTTTACAAATGATGGGGTGAGAAAGCAGACGCATGCAATGCTTTTGTGCTGATATTCCAGTGCTGCAGCTGTATGCTGACAATGAAATTCCTGCACACATTTGGTAATATTGTGGTGAGATCATAAAAACTTGATAACACTATCGACTCACCTCCTTTGTCTGCCAGGCGGATATCATTACTGTTTCCCTCGTACGTGAACAAGGCCCTGCGGAAAACACAAGATTAAAATACCAGCTAAAAAGACAACACAGACGCGGAAGGAAGAGAGTTTGTTCCAGAAGTTGATGTGCACTACTTCACATTAAACAAAAGAATTGATGTTTTGGAAACCAGTTTTAAGGAACCTTCACCCTTTAGCTCTATTTCAACATGATGCATTTCACAGGGGAAGTAAGGTAGTGTGAGTATACTAGAGCTGCACTTCTGATTTCGTTGTAAAATCAGCCACGTCAGTAACTTTTACAGGTTGTGTGTCGCTGAACCAGTAAAGACTGCACTTCCTTTTCCTTATATATTATTAAGAGGCCAATAAAAATAACTAACGATTAGCAGCCCTACACAGAGTGAACCCTCAGATAATACCAGGCCATTTCTCTGCTCTGGGTCTGACTAAACAGCATGTTATATATTTTTTTATAGGCACCGAATAGTGAGAAAATACTAGATAACCACATTAATCAAAGGATTACGCCGACACGCTCTTACCAGAGCGGCTTTAAATGCGTCAGGTTTAGGTGCGCTGGCTCGTAGGTTGTTTAGATGAGTCTATAAATTTATTTATGGACATTTTGTAGCCTTTAGTGTTAGATTACTGGGGGCTATCAGGAGATAAGACAGGGACAAGGCTCTAAATGAAAGCAGAGCTGAAACCATTAGTCTATTGCCAGAAAGTTTATCTGCAACTATTTTTATACTCAATGAATAATTTAAGTCACTTTTTCCAGACAAAAAGGGTAAAACTTTTATGTTTCCAGCTTCTCAAATGTGCAGATGTAATCATTCTCTTTGTTGTATATGATAGTGAAATGAATATCTTTGGGGTTTTGGACTGTTGGTTGGATAAAGAAAGGCTTTTAAAGACTTCACTTTGGCCTCTGGGAAACTTATTATGTTTCATTATCTTCTCCCTGTCATGATAATAATCAGCACACTAATCCCTAATGATGATAATACACCTTTAGGTCCCATTGAACAGGAAACCATAGATGCTTTATGATTTTGCCTCAGATCAGTACTACACAGAAGAATCATCATTTGGCCTGCTCTCATACAGAAACTTATACATGCTTGTATTCTTGTAATATACCCACGTGATGCACTGTAACTGCGATGATCATCATATAACAGTTAATACTCTACTTAGGATGTCAATGTCAGACCAGTATACGTGTGTAAAAATGGAAATACTGCAACACTTACTCACTGTCAGGTTCAGTGGCCTTATAAAGGCTTTTGCTTCTTATCAGTAAGTGGAACTTACACTGAAACTAGGCGATGAATGATCACTTCTTTTATCCTATCTCGACATCTTTGCTTTTTGCCGTCAGGACCACTTCAGTGACAACTTACGGTAAAAGCGCCCTGTTGTGTTACTAGACGTGGGCTGACTAAATGCCTAAAACTGTGTGGCAAACATTTTCAGGCTGAGTATCGGGCTGAGTATGAGGCCAGCAGGAGTCCCTTGGCAATTTCTCCGTGGGATTAATTAATTCAGGTCACCATTAAACACCGCAGCGGTCATCAACAGGTCTCCTTTCATTCTGGGGCTGCACAATTATTAGAAATATCAACATTTTAATATGACCAAGTGCAATGAGCTGCATCTTTTTGAGAAAAGGTCAAATGTGTGACAAAACAGCATTGTCATGAAGTACAGTAGTGCTGCAGAGTTGCATACTTGTGGTACAGACGCCCACACATTTCACATCACGATATTAATAGTTTTAATAGAAAAAAAAGGCAATTTATGATGCAAAAATGATCATTTCCACACTAATCTTGAATCATATGGCAATATCTGTGAGAAATAAGAGCAGTATGAAGTTTTTACCATATCGTGCAGCCCTCATTTCAACTTCAAAGGCAGCACAGACACTCTTGTAACGTTAGGTAACGCAAAAGAGGAAGCCCCTAGATTTTACTTTCACATATTGGTTATATTTGACTTCTGATATCTCACCAGGAAGTGTGTGCCAGTGGCGAGCAACTTATTCATTCAGTGTTTCTGCAGACAAGAACATCAAATTATTTCTAAACACACACACACACACACACACACACACACACAACGCATGAGGATTAAGTGTTTAACGCCTTGTTAGTTGTTAGTGAACAATAATTAATTAATTAACAACGTCACTAGCCATGCAGTTAGCTCCTCATTAGCGTTCACACAGAGCTCAACTCTCAGGTAAACGAAGCTGGATTTCGCTGTACGTTATACCTCATTTAATAAGCAGTAAGTTAGATCTGCTGTGGTTGACAAAGTGCCATTAAGTCCCAGGTTTAAGTTCACCCAAGGTTGGGTTAACGTTAACGACTGGCTCAATGCTAGCAAGCTGCAACAGAAAGCCTCCTGAATTGAACTAACTTTCGTTTTTTTTTTTTGTTTTTTTTTTTGTAAAATAAAATAAAAGCCTACTCCTTACCAGTTGGTGTTGGATTTTTCATCCACCACTTCTTTAAATGCAGCTGTTAATGCAGGGCCATTTTTGCTGAGGTTCACTGCCATCGTTACACTGAGTACAGCTAGCCAGCTAGCTATCCGGGATGCGCCCTTCCTTACTGGGAGGAGTGGCGATGATGCTAGTTTAGGCTAGCGGCTACCACGGATTCCTCCACGGCGACACCCCGAAGGCGCGGAGCTTGTTTGCGTTTTTCACTTTCCCCCCAAGCTGAGCTATTAATATACGCGGTCGGGTTTTCGAGTAATCGTTAAGATGAGCCAAATTCTTATTTTAGGAAAGTGAGATAAATGAAAGCTCGCTCTGGGGTACGATTGTGTTGTCTGCTCCGCACGAACCGCGCATGAGGTGTTGTTGAATCAAACGCACCCTACAGCTCAAAGGCTCTATGATTAATAGCAACTTTTTACAGTAATTTTATTGCCCTTACATTGAAAGCAAAATCGGCCACAATTCATTTAAAATATGCCCACATTTTCTCTCTCTTATTTAAAGCTGCAGAAGGTAACATTTATAAAAATAGGTTTTTGTTATATTTGCTGAAACTTTAACTCTATCCTGATAGTAGTGCATTAGACAGACAGGAGAGGAGAAAGATGATTGCTTGTTAAGTTTCATTCCCAGGTTGTCAAATACCGATGCTGGAAATGACATTCAACTATCAACAATCAATCTTTAAGCCACCAACCCAAAGGTCAGGCCCGGTGAGGCCCGGTGGATTCTTGCAAATCCCATTAGAAGTACTAGGAGCCAGAGGAATTAGGTTTATTCTTGTGTACTACTGTTGGGATACACTTAAAGTTACAGCAAATATAACAAAAGGTTGTTTTTATAAAACATAAATACCTGCTGCAGCTTTAAACTATTATTTACAGGCATCTGCTCCTCCTTTAATGCCATCAATGCACAGCTGGTTCTGGCTCATACTGCTGTAAAGACACACAAAAAATGACTGCAGACAACAGTAAACCAAGATGAGCTTTATTCATATGTTATGACACGGTCAATAGTTATCTTGTGTAGGCTATGTGAGGACATGTGGACGTTCATGGTGGCAGTTCAAGCACACATATATTCCAAATTTTAAGATGCATGAAGGCTGGTCCTGCATTCAGAGAAAGCCAGGCTGAAAAATATTGGTGCTGTTCAAGCAGGATTTCCATGTCTACTGATGAAATGAACCACCCATTTAGGGGGGGATACAGCCCTGATAGCAAATTTACAGTTTATGACAATGTTCTCTCTATATATACACAAAATGAGGGTTAAGGCTAAAATTTTTAGTCAGAGGTGTTAGGCAGATGAATTGTAACGAAATCCCTGATATCTGGCAAATGGCTGTGAGAAGGTTCTCCAGAGTGCAAAGCATGCTAAGCTGCCTATATAAACTCTATTGAGCACACTGGACAAAGGAAGTCAATGTCGCATCACTCACATGATGAATTGAGGCTGCATTCAGTCGTACAGTTGGAAGATACTCCGCTTTCAAATAAATAAACAGCCAGATGAACAAACAACAATGCACACAAAGTTTGAACTAGTACTATTACACACAAGTCATTTTCAATTGTGGTCTGGCAGCAAAAAAGACTTTCACTGCATTTAGAGGATATATTTTCAAAGTATATACTGTATTTCAGGACAACTTGTTTTTGACAATTATCTCTACAGCCGCTAACAATGATGAAAATCTATATTTGGCGCCTAAACCGTGATGTTAATTCTACAATCAAAGCTTCTAATATTTTCATGCTTTACTATGGACCTTTCTGGATGAATCCACTCAATAATGCCTCAATAACTAAATTTCTTCCCCTTTAAAACATCAAATAATTCCCTTTATATTGGCAGCATCAGCACATTATGAGCCAAGATAAAAAAAAAAAATCATAGCATTTCCTAACTACTTTATCCAACAGTCACAATGGAGTATATTAAAACTAATATTACATTATGACACATCACAATCATGTTAAATTCTGGTGACATGAATGGAAAAGAAAACTGCCTAAAACTAAAGCTTTCAAAGATACAATACAAAAGGTCACAAATGTATCACCCAGACTAACTGTTTTACTGTCAATGTGGATTATTAATCCAAAAACAAATGTTTGCAGACCCGATCATGAATATGAACATAAAGAAATGCTGACAAACTTCACATCACCTGATATTTAAAGCGAGTTAAATTGTCATGGCAAGTTACTGTATTTATTCACCTCAAGTAACGGGATGCACATGACATTAAATGACTGGGTTTGCAAAATGTCAAGTCCGTTTAAGTTCCCATTTTTAGTATTAAGTGACACCAGCTGTAACCAAAGGCCATTTCATTTTAGAAAAACAGTAGCATGTACATGTTTAACAGCGTCATTTAAAAGCTGTTCACATCCAAGTGTTGTTCAAAAATAAATGGAAATGGTGACGCAAAGAACCGGAGAGGGATAGTGAAAAAAAAACCCTCAATGTGACAAAACAACAGTACTTCTGGGACAGCATATTTTTGTGCAACACAGGAAATCAGGGCCTATATGCATAAAGAACTTCAGGAGTGCTGATCTGTCTTTGATCATTTTGCCTCTTCAGGAAGCGTGAGTGTTTTCTTTTACATGAACAAACCAGTGAACTTAGATAAGTTTTTTTATTTATTATTTTTATTTTTTTTAAGAAGCCTGATGATATGAGCCCTGGTCATTTTTCTCACCATGGGTCACTGCATGTAAAGGCTGATGATTTGGTTAGATACCTGAGTAACTGTACTGAGGAGGTGGCACACAGCTTAGCTATAGGCCAAAGAGTAGCTATGTTCATAGCTACACAACAAGTAACAAGTCAAACAACAGTAGTATTTTGTGCACTATGGACACCAGCCATGGGTGTTTACTTATACAGGATAAAAGGGCAATGACAGCATGTGTGAGAAAAAGGGAAGTTGACATTCACCCTGTGGAGCCCCGGAACAGTGAGGCAAGGGCCTCCTAACAGCAGCTCTCCAGTGTCTTCAAAACCACTAAATACTGTTTTTACAATTTAAAATGCAATGGGTGATAGAGACCAATGCTTCTTTTTAATCTTTCACATTGTTTCGGGGTAGAGACAGTATGTGCCAACAGATCAGCTGCTGGTGATGGCACTGCACCATTTCGTGTTGGACAGGGAACATTCTGCCTCAATTGCACATATACCGAAAATAATAACACAGAAAGGCCACTAAATACATGGAAATACAGTAACAACAAGACATCCAGTGGGACACAGACAGTACCTCTGAAATGAAGGGAGAGCCAATCTCCTAAATAAATCGAAAATTTTTCCTTCTGAGTAGCACAACGATATGAATCACGGACAGTGAAAATGATGCGTATGAATAGCAACGATGATAGTGATAATCACAATAGCAGGAGTAACAGTTTAAAGTCTGAGTGTGGCGGTATGGACTGTGAAGAGTTTCCGGTATTCCATATGGGAGTGCTTTAAGGAGCCCATCAGGTCCTGCTCAGCAGATCCATACAAGTCATGAAGGACAGCACATGGTAGCAGCTCAGCACATGGAAAGCCAGGTGGCACTGTACCTCATTGTATCGCTTCCTCCTCCAAAAGATGGGCTGTTTGCTAGTTTTTTCCCTCTGTTGCTCATTTGCCTCAAGTTACAAATCAAACGTGTTTCTTTTGTTCTCATTTGTATTTTGATCTCCCTGGCACTCTCACATTGCATACTTCTGTGTCCAATCTCTCGCTAATTTGTTGTACCTGAAAAACACATGCAAAGTGAAGAAAAGAAATCAGGTGAACCTGCAAACTGAGAACCTGAAACACTTGTAGATAATGAGTCAGCAGGAAAGTGAGCTAAGATGAGAGATGTAAGGTAAATCTCATTCATGTGTAATACTCACTTTTCCCTGTCAGCCTTGTACGTATGGGCGATCTCCGGCACCAGTGGGTCATCCGGGTTTGGATCACAAAGAAGAGAGCAGATAGACAATAATACTGTGGAAGAATGAATCAGACAGGATTTAGATTAGAATCTTAATGTGACAGTGAGAGGGGATTTATTGGCTATAGACAGACCTACTCCTGACTCCTGCACTGCCAGATGTGATTTTGGCATCTTTAGATAATCATCGCAGTCTGGCTGGGCGATAATGATAAACTAGAATGTCAATATATATGACCGAATACCTTAAACTGTGTGTTGAGCCCTGACAATATTATTGTAATGAACAAATATATGCAGGCAGTAATCCATTCATTCATAGCAGAATTTTTGTATCCTGTTAAAAATATTATTAAATTGAACTTTGAAACTAGACTCCATTTGCTCTTTGAACAAGAACAACATTACCAGAGGGAAAAAGTAAAGGCTCTCAGAATTATGACCGATTTATACAATGTACTCGAATGTCAATGGTCTTTGGATGTTGCAGTGTGACAAGAAATTCAATTTTCTGACATATGCAGTATTTTAGCAGTGGAGAAGTACACCGAACGCTGCCTGAATGCCTAAAAGAGCTGAAGACTTCAGCTGAAAGGTAATCAATATTTCAAGATTTAAACATTTAATAGTACAGAAGAGAATCTAAGATATGGATTTACCAGAAAAAGTATACACTTTCAACTTGAGGAGTGACTGACACACCAATTTGCAGCAGTTTCTTCTTTCTGATTCTGCATATGCAATTTGTATGTATTTATTTTTTTCAAATGTAGATGCTGAATGTTTGAAAGAGTGACTTGGCTTGTTTAGCTAAAAGTACTGTACTGTGCAACACTCCCAACTGTTTTAATACATAAAAATGTCAACATACATCTTGTATTACCCCTTACCTTTAGATACTGTAAGTGCAGGTGACCATTGTGATCTCAGTATATCCAGACAAATACTCCCATTGCTGTTGATATTAGGGTGGTAAATCTTTGTTGTGAATGCAACCTGTGACAAAACAGAAAAAAGAACATTGTAATTTTCCAGTGAAGCCAACTACCTGCACCACAGAAAAAATAAACGACTGAGGAGTGAGTTAAAGCGAGTAGAAACACGCGGCAGACCCTCACTCACTTTGGGTGGTTTGAAGGGGTAATCTGTCGGGAAGTGAATGGTGAGGAAAAACACTCCGCTCTGATATGGGCTGTCACTCTGTTGAAATAAAAATAGAAACAAGATAAGTCTGTAGGCAGCAGTTTGGTTCATTCATTTTGTTACTTCAATCGTATTTCAATTGGGTTCAAGTACAGTTTCACTTACGGGACCCATTATTGTTGCCTGCCAATGAAACACTGCGGGGGGAAAAAATAAATGAATAACCTTTAGTATAAAATAAATGCAAACGATGTAATCTAACAATGTAAAAACACCCAGGCTTTACATTGATGAACTACTTACAATCATCTCCAACTGGTCCAGCGGAGCACTGAGCAGGCGGGTCCCTCTGCAGGTCTGACAGTTCCTAAAGGCAGTCGCATAAAGAAAAAGATGTACGGGTCAGTTGCAGTATTGTGACAGCTGCTACAGTTTTAAATTGGGCTTGCAAACAGAGGGATTGTTTTATTATATTGGGCACACACAAAAAAAGTAAGTAAACTTACGCGTACACTGCAAACATTACAGAATATTGCAGAATAAAATATGCTGACGCTAGAGGGGCAATGCACTGTATGTCAAAATGATGGATCATGGATGAATCCTATTTATTTTGAACTAACTTCCACTTGTCCTGAGGGATTCAGAGAGACCATCTTCTTTGAAACTTAACTGAGGCTTAATCCATATAGTGTTTGGTTCAATATTAAGTTAACTAACTTAACTTTCTGGAGGTTAAACCCCACATTTCAGCCAGGTTGTTATTACCACCAGTCTTTCCAGTCGCAGCCATGTTTGCCGTGCAGTCCTAATCCAGGGCTGTTGACATGTAAATGCTGGTTACAGGACATTTTAGTCACCAGTTAAATTTAGTCCATGGAGGTTTCCGGTTATTATATCAACAATGAATGTAAACGCCATGGCCAAACCACATTACATATTATTCAGCACAGGCAAGAAAACACAAACAGATGGTTAAACAGAAATTAAGCCCGTTATTTAAGACCTCTTGAAAGGAAGTGTTATCTATTCTGTTATATAAATACACACTGTGGCCTGCTCCAGTGCCCCATTTACTATTCCATATATGGCAACACCGACACTGGGGTTCAATTTTGGCAACCAGCAAGCAGCTGTCATTCAACTGCGACTAAACACATCAACAGCCATACTGCCAGTGACCAAGCACAAGGATTTTTTTATTTAAAAAAAAACAAAAAACAACAACTAACAAGCTTGAGAATTCAAAAACAAATCCTGTGCATGACAACCAATCAAACCGAAGCAGCTTTCTTCTTGTGCTGCACTGCGAAATTTTACTTGTTTGCATCGAAGTGGCGGATCAGGAGCTGTCCGATAATAATGAAATATTTAACACAAGCGCAAAACGTAGGGCTGTCAAAATAAAAAGGCGCTGTTTTTGAGGGGTGGTTTACTGGTAGCTAACGTGCTGTGGCAATGCACCAACAGGGCATCAGTGGTTAGCTCGTCTTTGTCTTGAGAATTACATTTTTAAAAAAAAAAAAAAAAAAAAGGAGCACAAAAAGCAGGCAAGTACAGGCTAAGTCGAGCTATAGACAAGGATACACACCGGTGAGATGTTCACAGGGGGTCTCACACTCAGGGAAACACGTCTGAAAGAGGGTATGATTGGCACACGACAGGGGGAAAACACATACTCACCTTCTGGATTCTTTTCAACGCCATTGCATCAATGGCTATGCTGGGTAGCCTGTCAGCTAACAGTTAGCACTTCACACATACAATTTGGCTTCTGTGGCCGCGTACTTCCAACTCTCACTGTAGGTATACTCAGGAGAGCACTTCTAAAATATAACAGGCTCTGGGCTTTTGGTTTCTACTCTATCTGTTGTGTTAAATCTTGATTTTTTTTCCCTGTAGCTTCAGAACAACCGAGGTATTTTGCTGTCTCCTCTCATCCCCTACTGCTCTTCGTGCCTGGCAAATCTGATTTTGGTAATATCGCGAGACTTTTTTTCGACAAGACGTGAGTTGTGAATTACGACTTCCATGATTGTAGTTTTTAAATTATTTAAAAAAAAAACATTTTTACGTGTTTTATCGTTTTGACAGGTTTCACTTCGCAAAAAAATCTAAATTATATGACTTTTAATTATGAATGAATATAATAATAATAATTAGTGTTTATTTATACAAAAACAACAGAATTTGACCTCCTATTATTTAATCAAAATGAAATTTTGTCTTGATATAATGCTATGACACAAAGCTCTACACAAGTGCTTCTCAGAAATTGTGGCTGTGGCTACCAATTCTGTCCCTTCTGTTTGTCACTTTATCACATGCTGCCTTAGATCAAGAGTTTTTATTTTATTTTATTTGCATTAAATTGTAAATATATTTTGTTATAAAGTAATTAAATCCAAAGCTTAAACAATACAATCATCATCCTTATCCTCTCGTTCACAACACTGATAATAGAGATAGGAAGGCGGTGTTGTAACAACAAGTTAATACATGCATTCAAACAAATACAGTCTTCAACACAATAGCTGAGTTCAGGTGTCCACAAGATGTCACTATTTGAAAAGAGCAAAAACACACACAGGAAAGACATGGCCAGAATAGATTATTATGTACAGCTTCAACCGGAAGACGTTTTTGCAAGATTTACGGTGTCTATTATTAAACTGAATGTTGCATGCTCAGAATTAATTCATTTATTTAAATAAATAATTTGTTTAAGTATCGAAGTGCATGACAATGGAGCAGCAAAGTACAATGAAGCCAAACACGTGTATTATTTACACGTACATAAGAATAAAGAAAAAGACTATAGAATTGTTCATTCAATACCCAATCATTGTAAAGGCATATTCATCTGAGTCAGCTGCATGCTCCGGTTTCTGCACAGCCTTGTCTCGCAAAGCCTCATGAGCTTCCCTTTATATGTCTTAAACAAGAGTGAAAAAAGAGCTCTCATTATTTTAGTGAGTATGTATGAATGGGTCGCAGTGTTCATTCTTCTTAAATGGCTGATTCAGTGTCAGGTTGAGGATCCTATCGTCAATGTGACACTGAGAGGGACCATTTTCCTTTGGAAAGCTGAAGATTCCTTCAGATAATATCTTATTGTTTGCTCATCTCTGTGCTCTCAATGACCTGCCTGTCCTCAGGGCCTGCCTGTAATCAGATTCAGCCAGCAGCAGAGGTAGCAGTTTGGGTCTTGTGCAGCAGGGGCCTTGTGTTCTGAGTTTGTCTACTTGGAGAGGCCATTTATCAGCATGAGGTTTTCAGACACAGTCAAGCCCACACTTTGTTGGCTTGAAGCCTCAGTTCACAAAGCCTCCCACAGTCACCCTACTGTAGTTTCCTCTGAAATCTCAAATCACATTGGTTTGCTCGCTACTGTGTACTTTAAACCTATGGGGTTTAGAGGTTTAGAGTTGACAGATGCACTAGTGAGCCCTAAAGTTTTGGGGGTGATGCTACCTTGTAAATGTTCAAAGCAATAAGCAAGCAATGTCTTTGTTTCTATTAAGCAACATATATATATCACTGACCTGTGTGGGGAATTTCCCACCTATATCCAGAAGTTGAGTTTTTAGTTACAGGACTGGTGCCCCAAGTTCTGAATTGATGTATGAGCCAAGGTGTGAATGTGTCAGAACTGGGATGATATGGGTGGGGGTGGGAGCTTAGTTGACCTGTCTCATGAGGAAAATAGCCTATAGTGCTGTTATTTGAAACCATGGACTCAGCAGACTCCAGTGATCCGTCTTTTTGGTCACATGAATTAGTAGAAGTTTTATTGTATAACAGAGAGCATTCCACTTATTGTGGCAATTATGTTAAAGCTGCGTCTGAGCTTAAGCATATTCCTCTCGGTGGCACTTTTCCCATGGTTACCACGACAAAGCACATATGCTCACTGTCATTTTCAAAATTAACTTAAATGGATCTTGCTAATGTCTGAATTATCCAATAAAAGCACAACCAATTAATGCTGAGCACAAGCTGGGCTCACAATCCCCAGAGGTGTTCTACCTTCGGTCAGTGTATTAGCTTTCTGAGGGCTCTCCTATGGAACAAAGATCCATTGTTCCTGCATACTAAGAGATATTTGTTCACTCCTTGTATCAATGGTCTTGATTTGATTATACACTCAGGCAATATGTGCAGGCAGCGCTCATGTTTGCAGTGAAGTCAGCACTCTGCACAATCAAATAATTCTTGAGCTAAGCAACTGGAAAAAAGGGTCATTATGTATGGAGCAATCAGTGTTTCATGGCTCATTTCCTTAGCTGTGATTTGATTTTGCTTGTCAGTGTTAACATGGCCTTTGACCTAGAAATTCTCTGAATTATTCCTTATATCGTCCTTCTGCTTTCTTTTATCAGTATCAGTGTGTTTTACAACTTGGATCAATAACTAAAAGTCCATTATAAAAGCTTTCTGTATCTTCCCCCCTGTCTTCTTCTCGTGTTTTGGGCAGTAAAACAAGCTGGTGACTGCATGTTTTTTTTGGCTTACAAGGTTTAAATGATGCAATCATATAAACATTTATGGCTTCAAGGATGTGCTTATTAAAATGCATTATATGCTTTTACTGTGGCTGCAGAGAACTCTGCAGGTTTTATTTTGGCTTAATTGCATAGTTGGTTACGGGATGTCTTGTTTACAAGCAGGGGTCCTAGCACAAAAATAATGCTTCATTTTAGTGTTTTCAGAAAACAAACCTCCTTAAAGCGACAGACTGAGTGATGACTTGTTTGCTGACAGTTTTTCAAAGTAGTATCAAAAATACAAAAACTAAATTTGAGTAATTTTTAAAGTGTTGTTTAAACGCATGTTAAACTATATGCATCAGATTAAAAAGCTTATCATATGTTTTGCATGTAATATTCTAACTGGGAAAGTGCATTCAACCATCTGAGAAATGTGCTGAATTAAATGTCAAAGATTTTAGTCTGAAGTGAAAAATAACAGAAAAAGCTATCATGAAATGGAAAAACTCAAGTAAAACCAGTACTCCAAACTGCACTTACGTAAAGTTCCTGTCCAAATACGCTTTACTTTCCACATTTGGATTAAAACAATATTACTAAACATTATAACAGCAAGCATGAGTTATGGATTCATCATCTCCAAAATGATTCATGACTTATTTTTTTAATTCCTCTCTGATTATCAGGATTTAATGCCTCTCCAGAGAGAGCAACAAAAATGAGCTCAGATCCCGTCCCCTGTGTCTATCACCTCTGATCCACCCTTATCAGATGTGCATCATGTGGAGCACAGGCACAAACCACACATATAGTCATAAAGAACCAGTAATCCTTTGGGGTTAAGCACTTAAAGAGCAATCCCCAGAGCCCTCTGTGTCTCTGTGTTGCACCACACTTCTGGCACGGTGATTGACAGCTCTGGAAACTGTTTGACTGTGCTGCTCTTGCAATGAGTAGTCTCCAGAGCATAGGTAATAACTAGTCTGGAGTGTTGACTAATACATTTAGCGGTGACTCTCCGTAATCAAATGTGTTCCAGCTGTTTGAGTTCTGATGACAATTTCAGGTTTTCCCAGTTTCCCAGCTTCCTTGAGAGACAAAGGAGGGATTTCCTCTGAAACAGACAGGCAGTGGCAGCACCAACAAATGACTTGGTACTGTTATCAAATAGAAACTCTGACTAAATATAAACTTATCATCTGCTGCCTGAGCCAGTGCAGAAATTAAGGAGAAAGTAACATTTGAAACAATGTGTACAGGTTTTCTACAGGCTGTGTCCTGGGACAAGAGAGTCAATTCACATCAAAAATACAATAAAAGAAATAAAAAGTGTCCTTTTAATTAAAGCATGATAATATTTTGTGACTTAGGTCAAAAGGAAATATCATCTTTGCACCTTTCTTACACATGCACACCATCTCCTCAGAAGATATGGGAGATTTGAATATAAATGTTGCTACACAGAGGTATTAAAGCTGGCACCTGTTGCTTGACAGGACTGTGAAGAGATGTGTAGTTCTGTGATTGT